TTGCTCCTGTAAAGATTTACAGCCTCAGAAACTCTATACAGAGTTGCTATGAGTTGGAACCAACTCCATGGTACACCACCCACCACCCTGCCTCTAAAATGTTTATTTTCTCCACTTTAAATAAGCAGTACAAGTGACTAAATAATTTTTTCACATGAAATAGCCTAGCATGGGCTTTTGCTAGGTTTTATAAAATTAACTTCTTTTCTGCCTTCCATTTCAAATTCAAATAAACTCTGATGAAGTAAACTACTTTCAAACAATGTAAACAGATATTCGATAATAGCAAGTTACATTACAGAGAACTTCTAATACACTGTAGCCTGTTTAAAGGACATCTAAGTTTACAAATGGTACAAACTAGATCCTTGATTCAGTCCCTGAACATTCTCCAATTTGCCTTCCTTTAAAGTAGTGGAGTCCTGGTGTGTCACTGTAGGATAAACACTTGCTAACCACAAGGTCAGTGATTCAAACCCACCACCCACTCCACAGAACCCTTATATAAAGTTGTTGTTTTGTTGTTTAACGCCGTTGAGGCAGTTCCAACCCATAGCGACCCTGTATAGGGTTTCTGAGCTTGAACCGCCGACCTTTTGGTTCAAATGACTTTGCAGTCTAGCGCATTACCCCACAGCGCCACACCAGAACTCAATGAGTCAAAACTGACTTCACATCACTTAATAACAACAAAGCAGTGGAACATATCTGAAATTGGAGATGGCTTATGCACTGATTATTACCTGAACTCTAAATGTACTAATGTTTATATGGCATCTGGTCAACATCAAGAACTGTTTGTTGTATGCAGGCATGTTGTCCAGGGTCAAGTCACAAACATATTTACCTAGCATGACTCTGGACTTGGGGTATCTACTTTCCCATGCTATGAGGCTGTGTTGTTGTTGACAAGTGCCATCGAGTTGGTTCCAACTCATAGCTACCTTGCAAAGGGCTGTACTCTATAATAATTTGTTATTTGATGAAGAACTAAAACTACTTTACAAAAAGAATAGAATAAATGTTGTTGTTGCTAGGTGCCACTGAGTTAGCACTAACTTATAGTGACCTTATAAAAGCACAACAGAATGAACACTGCCTGGTCCTGTGCCAATCTCACAATTGTTGCTAATCTTGAGCCCACTACTACTGCAGCTGTGCCAACCCCATATAGTTGGGGGTTTTCCTCTTTCTCCAACCCCTCCACTTTACCAAACATGATATTCTTCTTCAGGGACTATACTTCTTCCAACACAGATTGGTTTGTTCTTTTGGCAGACCATGGTACTTTTAGTATTCTTCTCCAACACCACAACTCAAATTAATCAATTCTTTCATGGTCTTACTAATTCACTGTCCAACTTTCACATTCTTTGGAGGTTACTGAAAATATTATGGCTTGGGTCAGATGCACTTTAGTCCTCAAAGTGACATCTTTGCTCTGAAACACTTTAAAGAGGTCTTGTGCAGAAAATCTGCCCAAATCAATACGTCGTTTAATTTCTTGACTGCTGCTTTTCATGAGTATTGATGGCTGATCCGAGCAAAATGAAGGGTTTTTTTGTTAAGTTTTTACTGTGAACTGAGTGAAAGTTTACAGGGTGGATCACAGTTTTACATTCAACAAATCATACAACTTGTTTCATCACAATGATTACAATCCCCTCCATGTACCATCAGTTAATAGTATTTCTCTCTATTCACTTTAACTTTAAACAACAACAACAAAAACCCAAAACACTCAGGCATATATAATAACTTACACCACCAAAGGGCACATTCTGCAAGTCTGCCTCATGGCCGCTATTTCTCAGTTTCTCTCTTCCCAGGAATCTATAGAGTCCTCAGCTGTTTGCCCTCTTCATGTCCTCATCTCTGCCTCCATCTCTGGTGTCACTGCTTCTCTGGATAAGATCCTGCAATCTGCTTGTGCTCTTCTCCCTTGATGGTCTTAGGGTCCTTTGTTTCTGAACTGTAATATTAACTGCTCTCCCATTTTTGTTACAAAACTTCTACCTTTACAATTGTGACAGTCACAATTAGTCATGATAACAATTATTCACTATTGAATCATAAGAATCTTATCCCCATCTCTTTTAACCAGACCCATCTAGACAAGATGTAAACTTCAGTGGGGACTCTTTCTTCCCCCCATACTCTTAAACTAAACTCCCTCTTGAAACCTTGTAAGCCAGTCACTTTGTGCCTTTATCGCCCCCTCATTTTAGGTAGCCAATGTCTAAGTTGCCTGTCCGTATCTACCCTGTGTACAGAGGGGATAGCATTGATATTTGGTGTGAAGACTCCTTCCCTCTCTGTTGGTATTTAGAGTTACTATCTCCATGAGTATAGGTCAGGTTCATCAAAATGTAGCAATTAACCCTTGTTTCCTTTATCAAAAAACATTTTTATTTTTATTTTTTATCTTCCTCTAGTTGAGTTCTGATTATCAAGCCATCGAGGCTAGGTCAACTGGATACTATCTGCAAGTCTGGGTGTTCTTGTGCATCTCCCCTCACTTCTTATCAGCTGGATGCTTCACTCTCAGCTCTAGCCCTTTGTGGCTATGCACTTGTCCATGGGCTCAGAAGTCCCTAAGTCTCACCACACACTGGACCAACCAGCCCTTCCTCTTCTATCATCTCCAGGTCAACAGGAGTCAATGGACCGTGGCTGAACTCAGCCCATTTCTTCATTGCTGCATTTCCCCCTCTTTCACTCACCAGTAGACCAATGTGGTCGCCAGCAAGTTTACATACCTGCTCATATGTTCCCTTTGAGTTTCAGTCTTAGAGAGGGGCTTGTCCTGAAGGAACTTGATTGCTTGCCTTGATGGCTTCCCAGCGAACAGCTTGCTTATTCTTGCAGTAGGCTGTCATACTGACATTTTTGTTTAGGGTTTTTCCTGATGATCTTTCTTTAAAGATATATCTTCTGCTGCTCTAGCTGTTCCAGGATGGTCTGCTTGTCCATTCTAGTGGGAATGTCCCACCTCAGAAGGTTCTGGATGGGGCTCAGTATTCCACCTAATGTCCTATACACTACAAAGGCTCCGCAAGAGGCCTATTTCACTGGGTAAGTTCTAGAACCACTTTTACGTATTCCCATCAGTTATAGGCTGAAGACAGGCTTACAAGATTTCTGTAATCATGTTTCCTGACATTTGCAAAATGAAGTTTTTGACAACTAACATTTTTTCTCCATTTATCTGGATGTTGTTTACTGGTCCAGTGGGGAGGATTTTTGTCTTTTTTACATTGGGTGCAACCCATACTGAAGGCTGTGGTGTTTGATCTTCGTCAGTAAGTATTTTAAGTCCTCTTCACTTTCAGCAAACAAGGTTGTATCATCTGCATATTTCAGGTTGTTAATGAGTCTTCCTCCAATCCTGATGCCACATTTTTCTTCATATAATTCAGCTTCTCATATTATGTGCTCAGTATACAGACTGAATTAGTATGGTTAAAAAAAAATACAACCCTAGAACACATTTTTCCTAATTTTAAACCATTCAGTATTCCCTTGCTCTGTTTGAACACTTGTCTCTTAGTCTATGTATAGGTTCCTCATGAGCACAATTAAGTGTTCCAGATTACTCATTCTCTGGCATGCTGTCCATAACGTGTTATGATCCACATAATCCTCTTCTGAATCTGTTCCACATCCTCCTTCTGAATCCAGCTTGAACCTCTGGCAGTTCTCTGTCAACGCACATTTGCAGCCATTTTTGGACTGTCTTTGGCAAAATTTTACTTATATGAGCTATTAATGATACTATCCAATGACTTCCGCATTCCACTGAGTCAGTGTCTTCAATGCTGCATCTCTGTTGGAAGATTTCAATTTGCATTCCATCAATTCCTGGAACCTTGCTCTTTACCGATGCCTTCAATGCATCTTGGACTTTTTCCTTCGGTATCATTGGCTCTTGATCATATGTTACTTCTTCAAATAGTTGAACAGCAACCATTTCTTTTTGTTACGGTGACTCTCTATATTCCTTCTGCATCATTCAATATTTTGCCCACAGATTTCTTCAATACTGCAAGTCAAGGATTGAATGTTTTCTTCAGTATCCTCAACTGAGAAATGTTGAGCATGTGCTTCCCTTTTAGTTTTCTAACTCCAGGTCTCTACACATTTTGTTATAATATTTGTCTTTGTCTTCTTGAACTGTGTTTTGAAATTTTCTATTTAGTTCTTTTACCTCCGGCACTTAACAACAACAACATAGATCATCATATAGAATAAATGTTGTTGTTAAGTGCCATCAAGTTGGTTCCAATCCATAGTGACCCTGTACAGGGTTTCCAAGGAGCTGGCTGGTGAATTTGAACCACCGGCCTTGTGTTTCAAACCGACCTTGTAGTCTAGCTCATTAACCCATAGTACTACACCAGGATTCCATATAATAAATAGCTACCTTCAAAGAAATTAAGTTAGGATACAGTACCACATACCCATTTTGCAATGCCTTTTGGAAAATTGGAAATATTTGGAAAATATTCTCAGCTGACATTCCAGAGAGTTGCTTCTTTCATGTCTATCCACCTCTTATTGAAAATACTTTCCTTATATCTAATAGGTAGCAAATATTATGAGTCTGAGATAATATATTTTCTTATAATCAAAACCTTCTCCCTGTAACTGTTTCTCTGAAAGAAGCAATGTATGATGATGGAAAACTGTAACTCATTTGACAAAAATGTGTTTATGTGCAACTTTTCAGGAACATAGCTCTTTTGCTAAAGCAAAGAACATCTGTATTTACAACACAGATCTGAAACACCTACATGTTTTTCTATATAACAAAGGGTGTTTGTCTAGGTTGAAACAATGTTTTATCTTTGTATTTGGGTATGAATTTATAAGTAGGTCATTCTGGATGTTTAGCCAGAAGGACATTCAGACACTAACTTTGTTTTAGGGAAAATAGTGAAGTGTAACAACATAAAATATCATTTCAGTCTTTCCAAATTTGCACACGCACACAACATTACCATCAGAAGTCTTCTTCAATTCAGTCTTCAGTTTTTCCTGTTCTTCTACTAGTTTTTTATTTTCTGTTTCCAACATATGATGATCTCCCTTGCCATAGGTTTTCAATATCTATCACAATAGAGAATTAAAGAAGTAAGCATAAAATGCAGCAGCCAGGCACTCTTACAGGAAATGAGCTAAGTATTCTATTTGAAATTATTGGTATTTATTTTATTCTTTGTCCTTTTCAGTATTTTATAATTATGTACAATGCACTTTTGTGATCAGACACTTAATATGTGGATCATATACACAAGAGATTTAGTCTTACTAGGGTTGAAATCTCTTCAGTGAAAATAAAAATTTTCTTGGCTGGGCTACAATTAAAATGATATTTTATAAAGTATTTAAGTAAATAATGTGAATCTCTCTTTAAAATTAAGTGTATGGTATAAATAATCTACAGGGAGAGGGAGGGAAACTAAGACCCAAGATGATACTTATTAGCATATAATTTCATTCCAATTGCTGAACTGCCTACTCATATTTATATAGACAAAACTCACAAAATAACTTAACAATATCAGGATGGAGGCAACTAAGTGAAAAAATGATAGATCCATTTCTATACTTGGAAATTATATCTGATTTTCACTGAATAGTCTCCAAATTACTTTTATTCAGTTAATCCTTTATAAAATTCTTTATATTTTAAAACCTATTTTGAGTTTTTAAAATGTTTTATTTTATGCTTGTAGTTTATCATTTCAAGGCAAGAAAATTTGAAATCTGAATTTTTGTTGTTGAGTCGGTTTTGAAAAGCAAAACGAAAGAAAAACCTGGAACTGAAATGTCATAATCTATAAATCTGGACGGAAATCATTGTTGCTAAAAGAATTAAGAAACGAACCCATTAAAAATTTAAGAATTTTGTATAGGATTTTAAGTTACCAAGAAAGATAAATTAGATTGATGCTGAAAAAAACAGTATTTATTTGATTGACTAAATAAAGTGGCATCAACTTGATACTGAGAGTTTCCATATGGTTGTTGTTAGGTGCTTTCGAGTCACTTCTGACTCACAATTAACCTATGCCAAACAAAATGAGACACTGCCCGGTCCTGCGCCATCCTCACAATTGTTGTTATGTTTGAGTCCATTGTTGCTACTAAAGTGTTCTTCCATCCCCTTAGGGTCTTCCTTTTTGCAAGCATGGTGTTATTCTCCAGGGACTGGTACCTCCTAATGACATGTCCAAAGAATGAGAGAAAAATGTTTGCTGTCCTCACTTCTAAGAAGCATTCAGACTATACTTCTGAGATTTTTTTTTTTGCTTCTTTTGCAGGCCATGATGCTTTCAATATACCTTGCCAATACCATAATTCAAATGCAATGATTCTTTTATGGTGTTTCTTAATTCACTGTCCGACCTTCACATGAGGTGATTCAAAATACTATAGTTTGAGTCAGGCATACCTTAGTCCTCAAACTGACATTTTGCTCTTGCATACTTTAAAGAGGTCTTGTGTAGTGGATTTGCCTAATCCAATATATCACTTGATTTTTTGGGTGCTGCTTCCATTGAGTGCTGATTGTGGATACAAATTTGATTCACGAAGCTCCTTGTTGAGGTACTGTGGAACATTTTTGACTTATGTTCAGCAAAATTTTACTTGCATATATTAACGATACTGTTAGATGATTTTTGCATTCTATTAGATTACCTTTCTTTGGAGTGGGCACAGAAACAGATCTCTTCCAGCTGGTTGGAAGGTAGCTGTCTTCCAAAGTTTCTGGCATTGTGCAGTGAGCACCTCCAGCACGGCATCAATTTGTTGAAACATTTCAACTTGTAGTCCACCAAATCTGGGATCCACAAGTCGTCTGTCAGTTTGTGACAGACTGTGGTGGTTTGCATGTTGCTGCGATTCTGGAAGCTATGCCATGGATATTTTAAATACCAGCAGGGGCACCCATGGTGGACAGGTTTCAGCTTAGCTTCTAGACTAAGACAAACTTTGGACTATTTCCAAATATTCACTCACTGAAAACCTTTTGAATATAAGTGGAACACTGTCAGCACCAGAACACTGAAAACTGAAACATGATAAAGAGCACCAGAATATTATCAGACACAGTTCCAGAAGATGAGCCCCTCAGATTAGAAGGCACTCAAAATATGACTGGTGAAGAGCTGTCTCCTGAAAGCAGAGCTGACCAGGAAGCCACTGGGACCTTCATGTGTTAATAGGGAACAACTCAAAATGAAGAGAAGCAGCTGTCAAGATTCATTAATAATGGGAATGTGGAATGTACGAAGTATGAGTCTAGGAAAATTGGGAATTGTCAAAAATGAAATGGAACAATTAAACATTGATATCCTAGGCATTAGTGAGTTGAAATGGATTGGTGTTGGCCATTTTGAATATGACAATCACATGGTTTAATATGCTGGGAATGCCAAATTGAAGAGGAATGATATTGTGTTCATCATCAAAAAGAATATATCAAGATTTGTCTTGAATTACAATGCTGTCTGTGATGGGATAATATCCATATGCCTACAAGAAGACCAGTTAATACAGGTATTATTCAAATTTACACACCAACCACTATAGCCAGTGATGATGAAATCAAAGAATTCTACCATTTTTTTCATTCTGAAATTTATCAAACATACAATTGAGATTTATTGATAATTACTAGTGATTGGAATGCATAGTTAGGAAACAAAGAGGAAGGACGAGTAGTCGGAAAATATGGCCTTGGTGATAGAAATGACGCTGGAAATCACATGATAGAATTTTGCAAGATCAATGACTTCTTCATTGCAAATAGCTTTTTTAAACAACATGAAAGGCATGTGCCTCACCTGATGGAATATACAGAAATCAAACTGACTACATCTGTGTAAAGAAATGGTAAGAAAGCTCTATATCATCACCCAAAACAATGCCAGGGGCAGACTGTGGAACAGATAATCAATTGCTCATATGCAAGTTCAGACTGAAGCTGAAGAAAATTAAAACATGTGCACAACAGTCAAAATATGACACTGAACACATCTTACGTGAATTCAGAAACTACCAAAGAACAGATTTGATGCGTTAGACACTGAAGACTGAAGACCAGAAGAGTTTTGGGATGACATCAAGATCATCATACAGTAAGAAAGCAAAAGGTCATAAGAAGACAGGAAAGATAGAAAAGGCCAAAATAGATGTCAAAAGAGAGTCTAGAACTTACTTTCCAGCACAGAGATGCTAAAGCAAATGAAGAAATGAGGAGGTACAAGAGCTGAACAGAAAGTTTCAAAAGTCAGCTCAAGAAGACAGAGGCAAATATTATAATGAAATGTGCAAAGATCTGGAGTTAGAAAACCGAAAGGGAAGAAAATACTCAGCATTCCTCAAGCTGAGGAAACTGAAGAAAAATCCAAGCCTTGACTTGAAATCCTGAAGGATTCTATAGGCAAAATACTGAAAGATGCAGAAAGATGAAAGGAATACAACAGTTACTGTATTAAAAAGAAATGGCCAATATTAACTATTTAAAAAGATACCATATGATTAAGAACCAGTGATATTGAAGGAAGAAGTCCAAGGTGTACTGAAGACATTGGCAAAGAACAAGGCAGAGGGAATTGATGGAATATGAATTGAAATCTTTCAACAAACTGATATGGCACTGGAGGCACTCACTTATCTATGCCAAGAAACTTGGAAGACAAATAACTGGCCAACTGATTGGAAGAGATCCATATTTGTCCTCATTTAAAAGAGAGTTGATCCAATGGAATGCAGAAATCCATGAATAGTATTATCAATATTGCATGCAAGTAAAATCTTGCTAAAAAGAATACAAATATAGCTGCAAGCATACACTGACAGAACATCCAAAGGTTCAAACTGAATTCAGAAGAGGTGTGGAATGAGGGTTATCTCTGCTGATGTTAGATGAATCTTGGCTGAAAGCAGAGAACACCAGAAAGATGTTTGCCTGTGCTTTATTGATTACACAAAGGTTTCTGATTGTGTGGATCATGACAATCTATGGACAACACTGTGGAAATATCAGTATTCTAGAACACTTAATTATGCTCATGAAGAACCTGTACATAGACCAATAGGTAGTTGTTTGAACAAAATGGTTTAAAATTAGGAAAGGTAGGTGCCAGGGTTGCATTCTTTCACCATATTTATTCAATCTGTAGGCGGAGCACTTTATTTGAGAAGCTGGATTATATGAAGAAAAACGTGGCATCAGTATTAGAGGAAGACTTATTAACAACCTGCAAAATGCAGATGATACAACCTTGCTTACTGAAATTGAGGAGGATTCAAAATACTTACTGATGAAGATCAAAGACCAAACAAAGCCTTAGGCATGAGTTGCATCTCAATGTAAAGAAAACTAAAATCCTCACCATTAGACCAATAACAACATCAAGATAAATGGAGAAAAGACTTAGGTTGTCAAAAGATTTCATATTGCTCAGATCAACCATCAACACTCATGGAAGCAGAACTCTAACAATGTATTCCATTAGGCAAATCTGCTGTAGAAGACCTCTTTAAAATATTCAAGAGCAAAGATTTTTTTTTTTTTTTTTTTTGAGGACTAAGATGTACCCAACAACGTTGTTGAGTGCCATCGAGTCAGGTCTGATTCATAGAGAATTTGTATAGGGTTTCCTAGGAGCGACTGGTGAATTTGAACCACTGACCTTGAGATCCAGTGCATTATCCCACAGTGCTATACCAGTAGTCCCTGTAGTTGTATAACAGCAATAGGATATTTCAATACCCTGGTTTCAATAAAGGGGTCTTCGTGTAATGTTGTGGGTCGATGTGCTGGACTGCAAAGTTAGTTTGAACTGTAAGGTCGGTGGTTCAAGCTCACCAGTCACTCCTTGGAAACCCTATAAAGGGTCACTATGGGTCGGAACCAACTTGATGGCACTCAACGATGACAACAATTTTCAATAAGTGGAGCTCTGGTAGCGTGGATTATGAGTTGGGCTGCTAACTGAAAGGCCAGCAGTTTAAATTTAACAGCTGCTCCTCAGGAGAAAGGTGAGGCTTTCATCTCCTGTAAAGATGTAAAGCCTTAGGAATTCTAACAGAGG